CCATCCCGGAAGTACCCCCTTTTCAGCAAAAAAGAATCATTTAAATCGAACATTGTATTAAAGAATTATCGCTGAACATACAAAAAATATATACAGACGAATTGAGAACCTCCTCCTTTTTGAAGTAGGTTAAGAAGAATATAATAATCTATATTATTTGTATTAACTAAAAAACTACTATGTGGAGTTATATACATCTTCTTACATTAATCTTATATGTAAAAATGTGGGTTCGGTTCCTAGAAGAGCACCTAGTTCACTGTGCAGCCAAATTTATATTTATAGTACAGAATTTTTTGAATAAATAAAGTTTTAGGTTTAATTAAACACCAAGTTTTATCAGAAATAATATTTTCTGAAAAAAGTAACATAAAAAGCAGACTTTTTGCGAGCCACTATATATATTTTAGAGGACAATCCATATTATTTTAGAAAAATAAATAAAAATTTTGTATAATTACATAAATGTGATTTATCTTTTAGAATATTGTATATATTTGTCAAAGTTTACTAATTAAAAAAAAAGAAATATTCTTCAAAAATTTTCTTACATTTTTTAACACGGTACAAAATACCTTAATCCGTTTATAGTTATCGAAATTAGTAAAGAATTTTAACTCGTTTAAAAAGCGTTCTTTCTCTTTCCATTACCTATAAAAACTAATAGACCTTTTTGAAATCGGTATTCAGTGACTTTTCTTCTATTTTATTGCCTTGAAAATGATATGATTTACATAAAAAACAAAAACTGACTTATTATTTTTGTGAAATAAAAATATGTTGTTATTTTCACAATTTTCGACTACTTTTTGTTTCCAAAAAAGAAATACGATTTTCTTCTGTAGATATTAACACATCGTTTAATTGGCTTTTTACTTTTTTTTTTTTAATATTCTTTAGTATTTTTATAATTTGGGAAACAGTATAGCATTGAAACTTCTATACCTGAAAAATTGTGATTACGCTTTTAATTAATTGTCTGTTTTTTTATTTCACAATGTCTCGATAAGAAGTTATATAGAAAAAGTTAGTATTCAATATCATCCACACAAAAAACAAAAACATGTTTAAATTAATATATTAAATGAATTATCAGTATTCTTTAACAGAGATATATTTATTTGTATTATGGAAATAATGTTTATGTCAACAAACTTATGTTCGATATTTGTATCAATTTGTAAAAATAACTCTTGTATAATGATAATATTAAATTTAAAGGTTTTAAATAAGGACTTGCAGATATCACAATTCGAAATTCTTTTTATTGGCCATAATACTTTTTTTGGAATGAAAGATTAGTTTCTGTTTTTCAGTTAAGCTCCATAAATTCATATTTCAATCTGAACGCTACTTAAGCGCAGTAAAGTTGCAATAACTAAACAATATAGTGAACTTTTCGAAAATTTCCAAGTTAAAATGAAAATCAATTTATATTTAAAATTAAATAAGTTAACTAACATTTTTGACCGTTAGTTAATAAAGTTATAAATATTGTCGTTACAAAGATTTATGTTTGAATTTTAAATTTCTATTGATGATAGTTACTCATCTACGTATTACAATAACAATACCTACATGACTTGGCTTTGACATAAAACTCTGTATAGTAAAACTTCTAATCCGAATCAATATCTTGAAACTATTATTTGGGGACTTAATAGCGTGGTCCACTAGTTGGTGTAGCCTTTTAAAACATTTGGTATAATAATAATTATATATCATCAATTACCACTGCCACTGGTAAAATCCTAAATTTAAAATAGTGTATTATAATAATAAGACATTAATCATATCTTAAATGGATCGCCTACTACCATGTTTTAGAAATAAATAAAATGTAATTTTTAAATAAATAAAAATAATCAAAATAATTTAAAATTCCTTGCGTTATGTTAATAAACATTAAACAAAATTTCTCACGAATTATTTAATATTCTGTCCCGTATTTCCATGTCTCTATTGCTTCGCTGTCAACAAGTTCCGGCATATTAAAATTTTAAAATTTATTTTGTATCTTCTCAAAAGCTGTCAATATGAGATATTTTCTCCACTTCTATTCCTCCTTAAGTCCAAAAGCACAAAATACAAAAATCCATTTGTATTACGTGCAGCTAGCCCTGAATTTGAAAATACCAATAGTGGTTTTCCTTAATGGAGTTGTTCTTTTTCCAAAAAGTTATTTCTCTACTGCATATTTCTTTTGCTACAGTCAGCACTTCAGCTCCATATGGACATTTTAACTCTATCATAGTTTTTTTTTTTTTAATTCCATCCAGACTGGCAGCAACATAATCTAATTCGAATTCAATAAAATGTCCACATTTAAAAACTTTTACTTGCAAATAAATTTCCAAAATCTTATTTTGCTCTGAATTTATGGTCCATGCCATATCAGGTGGCTTTAGAAATAAATAAAAGATTTTAGGAGATTTTTTACAAATTTCTCCAAATTTTAAAGCAATGACTCGTTTCCGTCTTCTATTGTGCCACAATGCACAATCAGCTTGTCGCAATCGTTTTTCTCTCATTTATAGACATTGGCTAACTTTTTAGAAAATTTTCTCTTGCAACGCGCCTCAAAGGGTGCGACAGATCAAAGCTTAGATCAAAGCCATGCGCGAAAGCAAGAAAAAATATTTACATTACTTTAACGGATTGAAGAGAATATTAACATGCTGGAATTAATAATTATTGTTGACTCGAAGAAGTATTCATTAAACAAAAACATATAATTCACATCTCAGTGTATACCTTCCAATTTCGTATATATATTTTTTTTAATAAATAAATGATAAAATTAATTTAATATAATTGAGCGAAGATTTTTTTCAAAAGAGACTGATTCATATTTTTAAAGTAAATCCAGAGAGGTATGGGTTAAGCCTTTACCTGTACTTACATAAAATTTCTTTTAGTAAAATTAAAAAATAATCCGTAAAATTGGTGTACTATGAAACCCTTGCATATAATATATATGCCAATCTTAGTATTACAGAAATAAATTACGTAAAAAATAAGGTGTACAAATACGTAAAATTTATTAATCCATCGTAAAACATCAGTAAAATATATTATAAATTGTTTTCATTCACAAATATTAATTTCTTAATAATCTAACAGAGGCGCCACTTTCCAGACGAAAAATCTTGCAATGTAAGGGTTTCGTAGTACCCCACTTTTAAAGTTTATTTTTAACTATTTTTAAGATAAAAAATATGTATGTTTAGGTAAAGGTTAAATCTATGCTCCTCTAGAACCACTCTTTCAAAATTCAATTTAGTTTTTTCTAAAAAAAATTGAGAAAATGGGTAAAAAAAGTCGAGTTTTGTATTTAAAAAAAAAAACAATTTCAAATTTTAAAAAAGTGTTTCCAAAGGAACATAGTTTTATGCTTTACCTACACGTACATATTTTTTCTTTCAGAATAAGTCAAAAATAAATTTAAAAGTGGGGTACTACGAAACCCTTGCATGCTCCGCTCTACAACCAAGTAAATACTCCTCTTAATTAATTTTAAAAATGTATATTTCAGTTAATTTCCGCCTAAGAATTCCCAAGAATTCCCGTTTTTAAACAATTGCGAGAACCCTCGTAGGTTAAAATATTTCTATATTTGCCGAAATCCGAATGGGCATTTGTAGAGTCGATTTCGTATCAATTATCTACTTGTATTTGTCAAGGTACTAGTAGGACATTTTTTTATTTTCAAATTGTAAACATATTACTTACCATTCACATATTCAAAATAATATAAGAGAAAATAAATAATATACACTCTAGACCACATAAACGACAAAATGCAAACATTACTGCGGCTACAAACCAAATTACAACTATTTTTTATTTCAATCGGCTACGCCTATGGATTTTATAATCAAAAATTTTTAAATAATAAAAACTTTGTTGATAAGAATGCCCAAGCGTTGAGCAAATTACTGACTTGTTTATAAGTTGCTAAAATACATAACTCGGTTTGTTTTACGGTATACTAAATACAGGACTTGATATTTATTTTATGTATAATTTTCTCTATATTCCACATTTCCGCAGAATAAACTTTGAGCGAACAATATAAATTTGTTTATAAATACATTTATTATTCAATTCATATTAGAACAAGTAAGTATATTATAAAGATATTTAATGAAAATAAAAAACAATATAATTGTTAGTGGCACTAAATTATTCACAAAAATGTTCATTTTGTAGATACGACCTCTTGTCTTAACATGGCAGTATATTATTCTGCTTCTTGCTATTTCATGAAAAAGAAGCGTCTGCTATGAATTTCGTTACCATAATCAGCGTCACTGTAACATTATAATTCATAACTTGCGTCTTTATGTAAATTTTAAGTGCTTTTTAGGTACCTATCTGAAAATCTTTTTAACTGCTGTCCAATGAATTTCTTTAGGATTATTTCTAAATCTCTTCGGAAAACTCACTATGATAAATTGCGTAACCCAAATGTGAATGCTCCTTAGTTGTCAAGGGATTTTATACTGAAACTCAGCGTTAAAACTTTTAAATATTTTATAGAAGTGATCCGATATAAATAGTTATCTTTTGCCAATCCACAGAATGCGACAAGGATTAAAGATACATCTCTAAATATTGAAGAAGGTGATTCCTCCCTGTTTACGTACAACAATAATACTATACCAGAGCATAATGAATGGAATCACGCGCTTTAAACTGCAGAAGTTATCGGTATCACGTGCCAACTAGTCATAAATGCATGTTTATTGCCAAAATGAATTACGCCAGTGGTGTATAAAAACTATTGGCAAATTAAATGCGGTAATAGTAAATAATATTATATGAAACGTGTGGAAAAAATTCTACTGCATAGAAAAATCTCAGGACCCAATAAAATTTGAGCAGTTAAATTTCTACATACAAAAAAAATTATTAGTAAAATATTTAAAAAATTCAGTTGAAAATTATATTTGTATATGTATTAATAATGATGCCATTTTATTTATTTTGTCTTACAGGTTGGGGAGAATGGAGTGATTGGTCATCCTGTAGTGTTTCTTGTTCTGGTGGAATTCAACAACGGGTTCGGCACTGTAAAGGACTCAAATGTCATGGTTTCAACGTCGAGCAACGTCACTGCAACTTATTTAGGTAAAAATAAAATATTTTAGATATACTTGTACTTTTATATCGGTATATTTCACTTAAAAAATTTATCATCAAGTATATCTTAAAAACAATAAAAATAAGACTTTCGATTGGATATCCCAGTCCACGTTGACCGGCTTTTCTTACGGGCTACTACAAATAGAGATTTGAGAAAGGCTCGGTTCAATCAATAGGAGGCGCTAAAATTAAGGTATTCATCATTAACCAAGCATAAAATATTTATGCGATAAAAATGGACTAGCTTAGGACATAATCAATAGCCTATTACTTCGAGTACTAAATTTATCGTTTAAGTAATAAACAAGTATTAAAAATTAAAAAAAAAACCGACTTCAAAATCATACAGATGCCATCACCACATCTTAACCAAATTTATAAAGGACCCACCCCTGAGGTACCACCTTTCTAACAAAAAAAAAATCATAGAAATCGAACAAGCATATACATAAAAAATTAAGAGTTTGAGGATTTTGTCATGGACCCAATTATTAGATATTGACCAAATTAATATGGGACCACCCCTAAAATACCCCCTTTCTAACAAAAAAGAATCATTGAAATCGGACACCGTGTTAAAGAATTATCGCTGAACATACATACAAAAATAATATTGCGACGAATTGAGAACCTCCTCTTTTTTTGAAGTCTGTTAAAAATAACTTACATTTTAAACTAGGAGCCCTTATCTCCAGGATGTAAAAATCATAAACGATCTCCCGAATCCTTTCCATTTCTGGAAGTTTTATTGCTTCCAGTACTGATTTTTTTCCTCGGTTTTTTTTTTTTCGAGGAGATCCAAAGGAAGTAGATGCTCCTATTTCAATAGCTAAGACTTCCTTTTTAATTCTAGTTGCTTTTAGAGTTCGCTTTCTGCAAATAAAAAATATAGGTAATAAAATCAGCAATATTTACATTGCATAGTTGTGGAAATTGTCCCTAAACAAGTTAGTTGCTAACCTATACAATGTCCCGTTAGAAATTAAATTATAGCTAAATACAAATAAGATCACATTTCAATAAAATAATGTTATTAGCCTCGTGTTCTGTGTAGGCTTTGTTACTGTTTCTAAGCGCCACTTTAGGAACAGCACTGTTAATTAGTACCCAACAGTGAATGGTCGAGTGGGGAATAAATGTAATTTTAATTGGAAAAAAGTAATTGTAGTTGAAAATGTAATTGTACTTATAAATATAATTGTAATTGGAAAACAGCATTTGTGATTGGAAAAGTAATTGTACTTATGACAAGTAATTGTATTTAGACAATGTAAATACTATAAATTAATATAATTACAAAGTACAATTCCTCCAGATTTTGCTGCAATTACAATTCCAAATTACTTTGAGAATAAAGTACTTAAATACAATCACAAATTACATGATAAAAAAGTAATTGTAATTATTAATTACTTTTTAACTAGGAATTACCCAGCTCTGCCAAAAAGTAGGTTTAATTAATTTGCAATTGATCTTCTCCTTTATCATTACTTCTATATACATTAATTATTAAAGGAATTAATCTGTTACTTGTTTGTTAAAACCTTATCAGTATAATTAAAATCATGTAAATTTTAATATTGATGAATTTAGGATCTTTTTTTGTGTCATTGGCATCAACTACTAAGGTTATTAGCCTCGTGTTCTATGTAGGCTTTGTAACTGTTTCCCAGCGCCACTTTAGGAACAGCACTGTTAATTAGAACCCAACAGTGAATGGTCGAGTGGGGAATCCTACCAAGGCATCAGAATTAATTTTAAATAATTAAATTAAATAAAAAAATCTAGGCCAAAACGGTGGGATTCGAACCTAGGACCCTTGGATCTGCAGGCAGACACTCTACTACTGAGCCACTTACCCCCCTGAATTTAGGATCTTATTATTATTTTTATTGTTAATGTTCTAACTCAAATGTTTTATTTTTCAAGTTGTTATTTAATATTTTATTATTGTGACTTCAAACGTACCTTTATGTATTGTAGTTATTGTCAATAATCTCTATCTATTATTATGGTTTACGAAATGGTCTAAAATCAAAGCCGGCAACCCCATTTATTTATTGTGATTTAGCCAGACGTCTTATTTAAATGTTCACGCTTTACTGAAGTAAAATGAAAATAAGACGAAGATTCTTTATTAAATTAGGCGGTGAAAGTTGCCACTGGAATTTAAAGCGGCAATCGCCACTAATTGTTCAGAATAAACTACGGCTTTCCACGTTTTCCCTTTGTTTTTCCCATTAAGATTATTGCATAGCTGTTACGTATACTAATCTACACTACGCGGATGAAGTTCGTGAATATAGATATTCCAGAAATTCCAAATCATCTAGTTTAGTTAAAGGATATATCACAGCTTTAATGAATTTTCCACACCAACAGAATTTTATGTGGAGATAAAGTAAGCATTTTTCCATTACATCATCCTTTTACCTATACAGGGTGATACAGAAAATTAATTTCAAAGATATACGAGCAAATTGTTAAAAATATTACATTTTAAACTGAATCAGCTTTGATATTTTGAAAACATATCATATGTTCAAAGATTATTTTTTTTTTTCATTAATCAACCTTGTAACTGTACAGGATGATATTGAAAATTCAGTCCAGTTATTCCAGCAAATGAATTAAATTTATTAAGAATATCACATTTTATACGGTATTGCCTAGACAAACCATGTCTTCAATATTGTATTGACAAATGCAGATTAAAAAAAACAATTATTTTTATACAGGGTGTTAATAAAAAGTGTCACAAAATGAAATGGTGAATAGTATGACCCAAAATAAGCAGAAAAGTCTTAATAAATATATGACCGCAAATTAACGGTTTCGGAGATACGGACCATTTTGTGTTTATAACAATTTTTTATTATTATAAAAAAACATTGATATTTATAAACAATCAATAACAACATAGAGTTAAATGAGATGTTCAAAGTGCCCTCCCTCCATTTCAATGCATTGCCATTTGCACGACCGTACATAAAATGCATGTCAGCTAATTCAATATTAGTGTAAACAGGCATAACGAAAATTTATAAAATTATTCACCCACAACAAAATAATAACTGCAAATAGTATCTATGAAAAAACATCGGTAGACTCCGATAAGAAAAGCAAGTTTTTGAGAATGAAAAAAGATAATCAAAAAATGATACAAAACACAAAACACTCCGTATCTCTGAAACCATTTATTTGCGGACATATTTTCTGCATATTTTGCATATTTTGGCCCATACTACCCCCCGTTTTATTTTGTGACACTTTTTTTTACACCCTGTATATAGGTACCTTCATTGTTTTTTAGTAATTAGTTTATTTGAATTTTTCTTCAGTAACAGTTAAAAAAATCATGATTTTGAAATAAAAACCAAGTAGTATCTGAATCTGGTGGGTAGGTAAAATATAAAACTATTTACAAGTTAAACTACGGCTGGCTATTTACAATATAAAAACCTTTGTTTTATTAATAAGAAATTAATTCTACACGTGTTAAGTAGATGACTTTGTTATTGAGCTCAGAAGTGAGTGAAAGTTCTGGCGTTTTTTAACATGTTTGTGGGCTAAAGTTTGCATCAACTTAATTTAAATTAATACTTCGACAAAAATTTAGAAAGCAATCGAAAAGAAAAAGGCTAGTTTTTCTAATAACTTGGGATATAAACTGTTTTTGTTTCTATTACTTCTAAACTATCCTAAAAATAAATTAAAGGTAAAACAAAAGTTACTAATTAAAATTGATGCAATTAGGACCATTCATTTCACCTCTGATTAAAGTTGAAAGTAACTACTTGCTGATTAGGCTACAGGCTACAGTTCGTTAATTTTCCAAATTTTAACTATACTCAAAGGTGAAAAGATCAGCCATTAGATTAGATTAGAATAGATTACATTAGATTAAACTGTGGGTCATGTGGCCTCCCCCACCTCTGCCTGTTCAGATCTATGGTGCATATTATTTGATCGTTGTTTAGAGTATCTCGTCTAATTCGGTATTTTTAGTAGACTCCATAGACTGGAAAATAGTTTTCCGGCATATCTAGTTGCCCTTATTCTCCAAATGTAAGAAATCTCAGTCTTGCTAGACCTTCGCATTAGCACAATACGTGTTCTGCAGTTTCCTCCTCTTCCTGACTCGCGACAAGGTCTCTTCTGTCAGACCGATATTATACATATGTTTGTTAAACCTACAATGCCCTGTAAATAGACCTACTAGTACTCTAGTATTTTTTCTATTATGGCTTAGTAGATGCTTGGTGAGTTTAGGCGATGGTCCTTTAAAGAACTCTTTGGCCTGTCTCTGCCCTGGTGAATTGTTCTACCACTACTGAGATTCCTTAAACATCCACTGCTTTGTGCATGTTTTGATAGTCGTCTTTGTGACCCCAAAGAAGGGTTCTGGGCCAATAAGAGCCTTTGAGGCTCCTTCTCAGGCTAATAAATCGGCCTCTTTGTTGCCTTTATATCCTTTGTGGCCTGGTAAGATTAGTCTGTTTTGACTACCCAGCTCTGCTAGGGCTTTCAATCAGTCCCACACAAGCTTTAAGTGCAATTTAAGTGCTTTTAACGTCGCTTGACCGTCTAAGTATATGAGAATGGTTTTTCCATTTACCTTATGTCTTAATACCTCCTTTGTGGAGTGTTGCATGACTTCTATAGCTGCTGTTGGAGTCGTTCACATGGCTCCCGTGTTACTCAGGTATGTTTGTCTTTGAATACCATACCAACGACCCGTAGGTTATCATTGGCCTCATGACTGGTATATATCCATAGGAACATTTTTGGTTGTAGTCCCCAATTTTTTTTCATACGGCCTTCGACATAATGTAAGGGATGTTGTGCTCGTTTGGGTGACTTTTTGAAAGTGTTGGTTTCATGTTAACCTGTGGTCAAACATGACTCCCAACTATTTGGCCCCTTGAGCAAATGGATTCTTAACTCCTTTTAGTACTGGTGCGATTAGTCCTATCGGTACGTTTTGCTTTGTCAAGTTGACTATTGTAGTTTTGAGAAGGGGTTTAGTGATACCTCGTTCAATGCTAGTTCGTTAGTTATAGATCTTGTTTGAGCATTATTAAAAGCTCCCTCAATATCTACGAAAGTTGTTACTGCCATTTCTTTATCCTCCACTAATTTTGATAATAGCCTGTAGATATCAATCAGGGCCAAATCAGTTGACTTTACTGGCGCATATTGACGGTGGCTGAGAGGATTTCCCTTCAGTATTTCTTCTCGTATATATCTATATATTAGTCTTTCTAGCGTTTTCAGCATAATTGATAAAAGACTGATTGGGCGGTATGACTTTGGTGTCACATTATTAAACCTTCCTACTTTAGGAAGATTTATGACTTTCACCTTTTGCCACGCCTTTGGTATATGTCGCCAGGCTATACAGCTTTAAATATGCGACACATATGTGGAATTTAAGTTTCTTGTCTCCTGGAGATTTGTATAGTTGAAATTTGTTTGTAGCCCATCTAATTTTGTTTGGCCTCAATATTTCTCTAGCTAGCCTCCATTCCAAAGGAGTTGGCTTACGAGACCTTCTTTGAGAGCTTTATGCTACTATCAGGTCTAACAAAATTTCTGCGGCCGGAAAGTGTACTTCTGTGAGCAATGTTAACGTTTCCTCGAAGGTTTTTGTATAGATTTCATCATCTTTCCTGAGAAATCCTACTTGGTTTGCAGTACTATCCTTAGTTAAGATTTTGTGGATTCTAGTGCACGTTGGTGTTTCAGATAACTCCTCACAGAACTTCCTCTATGATTACCTTTTAGCCTTATCTGCTTGCTGTAATGTGTGTATGTTGTAATGCGTAAGATTAGCCTTATAAAGGACCCAGGGCCGTGCCAAGTGTTTTTTCCACCAGACTGTTTTTGTTCTTTGCTGACTTGTTTTCTCCAGACAGTTTTTCTTCTAAGCAGTTATAATGGCCTTACTTAGTTGGTCTACTGCTCGGTCAAGGCTTTGTTCACCTGTTATTTCCACCATACACTCTTCGAGATACTTTCCAAGTCATGTTGAATACCTTTTGCAGTTCTTCTCTCTTGATTTTCTGTATTTGGTTGAAATTCATGGTCTTAGTCCGTAGTTAGTCTGACACATGCCACTTTGAAATATTATCACTTGCTTTATACGAGCACAGAATCATTTCTAGGGCTTTTTTTCTCGTTGCCGTGACGAAATTTGGTTGTTACATATATTAGCAATTACTAAACCTTCAGATAAGATTAAATGTAATAAAGACTCACCCCTTGCATTGATGCCCGTGCTTCCCTTAACGGTATGGCGAGCATTAGCATCGCATTCTGTTATAAGTTAGAGATTAGCCCTCGCGGCATGTGAGTCTATTTCACCTATTATATGCGGGGGACATAGCTCTTCGCCTGAGAAATGCAGAACAGACTAGCCATCTTTTTGTTCCTTCCTCTGTCGGCATAGTTAGGAGAGCTGTAAAAATTAGCGGTACATAGCAACGCTACTAGTACACACTTTATACTATTGTTGCATAAGATACATGCTCGAGGAGTTTTAGACTTTGCGTTATACAATATCTTACCATGGTCGAGTTTTAGTCCTGCTAATTTTCTACCAGGTAACCAGGGCTTATGCGAGAGGGCCAAATATGGATTATCTTTGTCAAACCTCCTATATACTGTCAAGGTGGCCGCCTTGGCATGATGGAGCTTCACCTGAAGTACCCTGATTGATCTGTGCAATTTTGAGCAGTTTGTCTGCCTTCTTAGAGGCCTGTCCAAATTCCATAGGTACTGTTTTTGGGCTTCTTGCCTCTTGAGAGGACTCACCCTACTGTGGGAAAACTCTACCTCGTCGTCCTCTACTAAGGTTTCCTTTTCCTTTCTTGTGCCTGGGTTATTCGCCTTTTCGGTGGGTTCTTGGTTGTTCTCCTTTGACTCTGAATTTAAGTTTCCCTAGGTCATAGTAGAGGGATATATCTTGATTTTTTAGATTCTATAAAGATTCAGGATCCATCGAGAAAGCCTACGTTTAACCTTTGTCCGATGAAGTTTTACTCCAATCGTCCAAAAGTGTGTATTTAGTTTTTGGTTGGCTATTTTGAGCCTGTTGAATATTTCATCCGGGACGAATGTTATGCAGGCTAGTGGCCTAGAAATATCGTCACTTTCCAACGCTTTTAGGGTTGCCCCTTCCCAGGGTTGGATAGTTGTGACGATGTCTCGCAACCAGTCTGCATAAGTCACTACCAGATTACCTGGCTTGTCAATGCAGTTGGGAAAATTACCTCTGTAAATTTAATACATTGATGGGCGTCTTTTAATCACTAATTTCAGTTGTTTAATAATCAACACTTAACTGTGACTTTAATGCTGGAATATCGAAAAAATTTCCATAATTTAATTTTAGTGATTTAAAAGCTTCCGATTGAAATTTTGATGAATCATAGTTACTAATATTAAAATTGCACAATTCAACAAATTTTAATTCGTTAAAGTTTTGAAATCGAGAGTTCATTTGTTGTAAAATATCAAAAATGTCGGCGTATAATCGACGATAGGAGGTCTTTCTGTCGCCGACATTATCAATTCTAATTCTCTGTCTTTCAGGTTCTAAGCCAATGTTTTTTGAATTTTAAGTCAAAAGTGTTCAAACTGATCTCGTTTTTTATTCATTTTATTTTTAAAATCATCAATTTGTTTAATGCAAAAGCCAATGTTATTTGACTTTGTCTGTAAAATGTCGAATAAAATGTCAGTAAAAGGGAAAATCTCTGCAAAAATGTTAAGCAAAAAATTTAAATTAAAGTTTTTTTTAAGCCTTTAGCGGCAGTAACAGTTTCAGAATCCCATATTCCTTTATTATCTCAAAGGTCTTGAAAAAAGTGTATCAAAAAATAACGGTATTGAAACACTGTTTGCGCTAAACGTCCATTATAGTTCCATCGCGTCGAAGCAACTTTTGGAAACGTTTTTTGAAAGTGAATGTCCAAAGCGCAAGTTCTTTTCGATGACTTTGAAAAGAAGGAAGCCAAACCACTAAGCGTCGAAAAGAAAACTTTGCAATCTTTAATATTGTCCATGCTTCGCGATAAAACCAAATTAATTCTATGTGCTATACAGTGAACGAAAACTGCATGCTTAAATTTCTCTTTCACTTTAGCTTGACGGCCTCCTAAATGTCCAGCCACTACGGCAGCACCATCGTAGCTCTGGGCAACAAGCTTAGAACCACATTCTAAACTTGAAATAATGTCACAAACAATTTTAAACAATGCATCTGCAGTACGTTCGCTAGTGACGTCCAAAAATCCTAAGAATCGCTCTTGAGGAATGCCGTCCAATGTATATCGCACAACAATGAATAATTGACTTGTTTGCTACATCTGTGGTTTCATCAAGCGCAATTAATACAGAAGGTGCTTTTTTAATTTCACTTTTAATGTGATCCATCACAACGTCGGCAGTGAATTTAATTAAATCATTTTGGATTCTGTTTAAGGTACCTTGGAAAATCGTCGAATCAAAAAAATGATTTTTTAGGATATCATCGTATTTTGCTAAAAAACTTAGAAGGTCCATGTAATTTTCTCGATTGGCGGATCCACTTACTTCATTGTAACCCCTAAAACTTAGTTCATGCTCTACCAGGAAACAAGTTACATCTATTAATCGTTGTAAGACATCCCTATTTTTTGTACCCTTTTATTGTGAATTTTGTTGCTTATTTTTAAATGATTAACCAAACTATGTTCAATGCGATAGGTCCCGAATGTGTTTTCTTTAATTGTAGCACTTATATGAGATTTGCTATTTACATGTCGTTTTACACTTTTGTAAAAATTATTTAAGACTGAGTTCCAATGTGTTTTTTTGGCTATATTTAAAAGTAGACAAGGCCAGCAAAACAATTTCTTTAAAGTTTTGCAGCTGGTTAACCATTTTTCATAGAACCCTACGTGAAAATGCCTGGTATTTTTTTTGATGACTTTTCTACTTTAGATAGGACCCTTCCCAACTAACAAAGTAGCTTTATAATTTTTAGTTTACAAGACTATTATATTTTATTGATATTATATTGCTGTTTCTGGAATGCTAATTTATTGTACTACAGTTGTAGAAATCACTATTTTGTTCTCTGAAACTAAATAGTTATATAAATTAGTTTTTACAATATTCTTACAGCAAAATTATAAAATAGTTTTCACGATAACTATGAAATTGTTACATAAACATTTATACAACTGTTCTATACAATATTTCAGCTTATAAAATAAAATTGCTTTATAGTTATTCTATATTATTGTTCTGGATTACCTTTAGAACTTTTTGGTCATACAAATATAACTGTTTCTTAACCTCATAATAACGCTTTAAAAAATAGTTATATAAATATTAGTGTGAGATAATTCCGCATCAATAGCAATTTGCTTCTGATGAAAACTCTAAAATAACTGTAATATATTGTCGAAATACACTATTACAAATCAGAAAACTGTATAGCAATTATTTTAGTTAAGAATAGTATTATCCCTCTAAAAATATTTATAAAAAAATAAAGCAACTACATTTGGTAGTACCTACGCCATATTATTTTTGTATTTTATGTTTGTTCAACTACTTCCCATACCAATTGTATGTGAGTGTATGGTCTGAAAATGTCAGATTTAAATAGTGAAGAAATATAAAAAATAAGTGGTACCTGTTTTTCAGAGAACAGTAAAAAATATTAGTAAAACATTTTGATGGTTTGTCTAGACACTCAAAAAAAAACTATCATTTAGCCAGATAATAATTGGGTATGTTCTGAATAATCATGCCCCAATACTAAAAGAAAGCCATATTTTTGGCGATGTCCATGTTAAATTTGCTTATTCTCGTAATATTAAAAATTATGCTTGCTCTATAAAGCTGTAGAAACAAATCTAATCATTTCAATTCCCAAATACTTAAATCGAAAACGATTTAGTAAGGTTATGTTATATTTTGTTATATAGTGCAGCAATATGAAACTATTATACAACAAACCATGATGAACTTGTTTTGTAGAAATGAGTAATACAACTTAATTATTGTATTACAGCTGTTTTTACTACAATAATATTTTATAATTATGATTCAGTCTTAAAATAACTTTCTAATACCTCTGAATAGCCGCCATATTTAACACAAACCTAAGACAGTTTTAAAGCTAAATCTACTGTCGGTTTTACTAGTATTTAAGACAAAACCAATGTTAATTAAAGATTTTAATCATTAGTAATATTAGCATAATCTTATTACTAAAAAAAATCAAATTGCATAAATTTAATTTTTGTTTCACACTGAAAAAGTATTAGAAATATGAATCAAACTCGAGGTGCTTAAAAATTTAGTATTGTATGTGCTATATAATTAACAGTAATTCTTGCTGCGCATTCAAAAACGACTTTATTGTAGGTCATACATTATGTCTAAACCGCGTTATAGATATCTCTTAAGTAGATACTGCCATTTTACTAATATCGCCTTGAATTTACTTTTATGACAAATATAGAATTAATTTGTTTTCACCAGATACATTTAAAAAACTAAAATGTTACTGATTTTGATATGCAACCTAACCTCAAAATTGAAAATTTATAAAACAGTTATAAAAGTTTAAAAAAACATTTGTTTAAAGTTTGTGTAAATGTGTAGTAACTGTTCGGTAACTGCATTCAACAAATCTTATAAAATTTACAAAAGAACCAAATAGTTCTGTAATACTGCGCCCATTTTGTGTTTATTACTGTTGAAAGAATGTTCCGGAAATGTTCTTAGCTAATATTCTATTTTATAAATTTTGTTCTGTAAACATTTTTTCAGCTTTTATAAAATATCAAATTGTTACTTGGGTTTAGTCTACTAGAATTAATAATGTCCGTTTTCTCTTCAGAATTTCTACTTGAAAATCCTTTTATCAACAAAGAGCACACAATACAGACACAATTCACCACATTATTTTGTTCACAGACACAGTGCATAGTTCCTCCATTTTAGAAAAAGAAAAACAACTACGAAAAACAAACCGAAATCTACGATTTTCCTCACACGTCGATTCGCGGTGCGAATTGCAATATGCGTAAGACGGCGTAAAAATCGCTGCCCCTCGACCGTATTTAACGTTTCCAAATGGACTGACTATTGTCGCGGCAAAGCAGGGTTAATAACACGAAACGAAACCACTTGGAAGATGAACCGGCTCTTTCAAGACGCGCTTCCGCCGACGGACTCGAAGTATATGGTGTGTACGTTTACACAATTAATTTTCTTATGGGTGGTGCGTGCGTTCACACATCACACCAATGAATTGTTAGTACATTTACGAAGTTTACGAAATGTTTCAGAGAAAATATAGTACCTAATGTATTATTAATTTCTACGCATTGTAAACTGAAAAATATCTATTTTTAAATCTCAAAGTATAGGGAAGAGGTCCTTCCCCTGCTTCTATGGACCGCACGCCCCTGTTAAATGCCCTTTATGCAAAATTTAAAATAAGGTTTAGGTAAAATATAGTAATACGACAATGGATAATCAGTCCATATGGTGACGTTAAACGGATGATTATTACAAAAGGTACTAATCGGAATAAGCACTAAAGTACAGTTTATAAACTAATATCTGCTATTATGGCTTCAAAAAGATATACCTATTACTTATTACGCATTGTGAAATATTGCGAGAAAGTTTTTTGAATTGCGTTTCCTTCTTTATAACTAGCGAAAAAATGTTTCAGCACGGTTGCCCAAAAAAAAAGCAGACTGTACATCCATTGTACGAGTACATCATTAACCGAGGAAATTTGAGATTAAACCTCACTAAATTGATGCCAAATATTGAAAATTTATTAATAAAGTATCAGGTTCATCTCTCCCACTATAAAAAGCTTTTATTTTTACTTATTGATTTTGTGTAATTTTATTTTGGTTCGTTTTAGTTTCAGTTTCATTAATAAATTTATAAAAATAATTGTGCGTTTTTTTTCTTCTACACCTCACTACAGTCAGAAATCAGTCAAAATACATTTGAAGTTGATGGATTTATAAAACTGCAATATTAGCTAAGGGGATCTATCGAAAACCGAAATACATGGTAAGTGGTCTACGAGACCAAAAAACTTTGGGGACTTCTGGTTAGTGTTACTTACCTACTCAACAGGTTTTTATATGAGAGAAGATAATTGGTGCATTTAGTACAATAATTTTGTTCAAATATGGTTTTGACAAATTTGAATCTTATTTCTATTATGGGTGAGTAATCATTTATATTTATTCTATGCCCATTTAAATGTTTTAGACAATAATGTTTCCACAATTAATATCTTTTTAACTTGTAAAAGTTTTATTTATTGAATTGAATTAATTAGTAATTGGTTTTTAATTAATTATGCATAGTTTCTTTCTAAAGTTTGTTTTGCTTAAATTTTAATAGGATTATATTTTTTTATCGGTATCCTTTTACGAAATACTGTTATCATCGCACTTTTTTTCTAAAGGGAAGCCTGTAGGTTATTAAAACAGGATCATAACTAACGGAACATGGAAAGAACTGTTTTATATTTACTATTGTATTAAAACAACGGTTTTTGAAAGTGTTACTTGTTCAACTCATTTCTTAATAATATTATTCGTTTTGTAATCCCTCCTGGGGGTCTATTCTCGACTTTTATTCCCATGGGAAAATAAAATTTTCCCATGGGAATTCAGTTTTCGTATTCTCGACATAAGCGGTGGAATGTTTTCCAATGAGAAGTATGGGAAAATATTCCCCTGCTTACGAGCATTGGAAATTGTGTTTTCCAATTGGAATTGGACTAGAGTTTGCGCATTAAAGCCGAATATTTGGCGAAAGACATAACCAAAGATTATTGGATATCTTGGATTTTTGGTGAAATTGTAGTTAAAACATTTTTTTGGCGTATTTATAGATTGATATTATTTTATTTATGTAGGTATATTATTTTTAATTCTCTTTCACTTAGAAACTGTATGAACTGATTTTCTTAAATCATTTAGAAATTGTGGGAGCTGCGAAGGGACTGGCAATAACACAAATTGAGAAATTGGTAGTAAATTTAATAAGACCTTTTCGAAAATTTTATTATTTCCGTTAACGAAAGAATTTCTTAGTTTCTCGAAACTTTCATTGCTCTTCCATACAAAAGCTACGTTTTCTTTTTTCAACATGTGAAAAGAAAAACTCTCGACAAGTTTTAATTATACATAATCGAATATTTTCACTTGTTCCTCGGTCATGCTAGCGAATGCTCCGCACGGCCATGCACCTGCTCCAGCGCGGAGGCTCGGCAGGTAATCGATTACCCAAAAACCACAAAAAATACAAATAATGCCAACAGTAAATTTTAAAATATCTCTAATGTTATTGGTTGTTTCGAAATATTCTTGGTCTTAATATCAGACATACGTAAAACTACTATTTCCATGGGAATGTCTATTCCGACAAGTTCGAGAATTGCATAACCTATTACCATGGGAATATAAGCAGTGGAATCTTTTCCCATGGGAAAATTTTCCAATGAACTCGAGAATCGATCCCCTGGGGTTTGTTCGGGTAACAGGTAGATTTTAGACAGTCGGAGACAGAGTTCTTTGGTAATAAAGCTTTATTCCAACAATTTATATACAGATAATAATATTTACAATATGTACATGAAAAGGTTCTAGCTAAATTTCGAATCGTCATGTCTTCAAATGTTGTTCGCCAAAATATATTTTGTGCGTCGTTTCGGTGTGGCTTAGTCGTCCAGGATGGTGTGGCGAAGATGTGACAAGGGCTTAGGTTACCTTTACGGTGATGGAAGTCAATACCTTCGTGGGAGAGATTTACGGTAAAGGAAAACCTACAAAGTCAATACCTTTGCAGGTAATGATTGGGACGTAGGGAAGCCTACAGAGTCAATACCTCTCTAGGAGCAGGAGATGAGAGTCTTGCTAAGTCGTACCTTAGTTCGACTCACGAGAATTAAATTCGGAGCTCTTTTATAAAAAAAAACATAAAAAAGAGATCTTCTTATAACTCTTTCTTTAGTTGTGCCAAATCTTAAAAAAAATCTTTCATAATTCTTCTTAAAAAAAAACAATTTTTAAACCTAAAAATTACTTAAATGGCTCGTGGGCCCTCCTTTTCTGCCTTTTATTCAGATTACCTTTCCCTCTTCTAAGTGCAGCCGGTACTTTTTGCGGTAAAAGCTTTTTTAATGGTATAGAGACCTTTATACTTGGCTGCAATTGTAAGAAGCCCATGTTGGATGCACTAACCTGTGGCGGCGGCTCCTCAGTCTTTTAAATTTGGCTATCGTGCTTACAATTATATCACTGTTTTTCCTGGCATTGGTGTTGGTGACAAGTATTGTTGTGGTGGTGTTGGTGGCAAGGGGCATTGCGGTGGTGTTGGTGGTACCGGTGACAGTATTTTTGTAGGCTGCCATTATTTTTCTGACTGTTCTAATTCGCTGTCAAAACTGGAAAGGAAACTTATGTCTTCGTTTAATATTAAAACGTCTTCATGGGGCATCTTCTTGATACTGCTTTTTTTAATGTTTTGTTTATCACTCTAAGGTATTGTGTTAGCTGAGACGGTAAGGAATGTAGTTTTTATGGCGAGAAAAGATTAACATAGTCGGGTTTGAGGTCTTTAATGTGAGCTTTTAGGGTTCGATTATTTCGTGTGTCTCGTAACTGAAAAATTACTTTTAAACAAACTTGACTAATGGTGTATGGACCAGAAAATTTTGGTGCTAGTTTAGCGTTGAAATTCTTGGCTGCGTTTAAAAGGTTGTAATCTTTCTTCATAACTTTGTCGTTAATTGTCGGTCTCCAGTCTCTGTGCCGAAGATTGAAGTAACCGTCTTTGTGTTGTGAAAGCCCTTACCAGGTTTGTCTTTACTAGGTCAAACGTGTCTTTAAACTTGTTTCATGTAACGGTTCTTACTGGTAATTGACTGTCGGTCGTATTTTCTAAAACTTTACTTGGAATTTCTAGTTGATGTCCAAAATTTAGGAAAGCCGGGGTAAATCCTGTGGCGTTGTCTTTTGCAAAGTTGTAGGCAAAAACTAGTTCTGGTAAGTTTGCGTCCCATTTTTGTGATTGTTATCGCAGAATTGCGGCACAATTATTTATATTACTTTGTTCGTACGTTCTACTGGAATGGTTTGTGTTGGTGGGATGTCATTTTTAGAGATGTGAAATTCTGTCAATAGTTTTTAAGTTCCCTGTTTTCGTAAATCCTGGCGTTGTCTGATATTAATTCTTTGGGACAGCTAAATCTCATTATGATTTTATCTTTCAGGTTTTGGCATATTGTGTTTGCTGTTGTTCTCCGGACGGAAATGGCTTTTATCCATTTTGCGAAGGTGTCTCGAAATATAACTATGTAGTTGTTCCCTTTGCTGGACGTTGGAAGGGGTCCAATCACATCTGTGGATACTGTGTGCCAAGGGTGTGGAGGTATGTGCATAAGATCTGGGATTTGCCTCTATTCTACTTTATATTGTTTACAGTTTTTACAGTTTCTAACAGAGGTTGCGGCATCCTTAAACATACCTGGCCAATAGTACTTCCTGGCTAGTCGAGTTAATGTTTTTGCTATTCCTAAATGACCTAATGTGGCTTGTTTGTGGTTTTCTGCTATTAACGGTTGTCTTTTGTTGCTGGGTATGCAGAGTTTCCATGGGTTTGATAGTTCTGTTTTTTTAAGATCGTACTTGTCCCAGAAATGCCTGTAAAGTCGGTTATTCCTGGTAGTGTAATCTGGAAGCGATTTAAGGTTGTTCTGCACTTCTTTTAATTTCTTATCATACCATTCGTTTGGCTGGATGTCTGTTGGGTCTATTGTGCATATAGTTCTTCACTGGTTTTCTGGAGATGGCATCGGCTAATACATTCTGGCTGCCCTTTCTGTATATGACGTCGAAGTTATTGCCCATCTTGCCATTCTGCCTGAGAAATTTTCCATGGACTGGAGGTATTGTAGGCTTTGATGATTCGTTATAACTGAAAAGAGGTATCCTTCAAGAGAAGGTTTTATTTTTTCAACTCCGAAAAACAACTGCGAGAAGTTCTTTTTGTAACACTGTAATTCTGTTCTACTTTTGACAATGTTCTGCTTGCGTATGCTATGACGTCTTGTCCGGAATCGTCTTTTTATAGTAGTATCACATCTAACCCGTGAACATTTTTTTCGTGAAATCAGGACACACCAAGATTGGCTTGCGTAAGTAGAGTTTTTAACTTGTTGAAGGCTTTATCTTGTTTCTGGTCCCAATTCCACGGCTGTTTTTTCTTTAGGAGTTTGGTAAGTGAGGCGGTTGTTTCTGAAAAATTCTGTATGAATCTTATAAATGAGAATTGTGCTCCGGTATCCAGTAAAGCTGTTAGAGTTTTTCCATTTTTGAACTTAATTGTGACGTGTGGTTGTATGTCTGTTGGCTTGTGGTTGTAGCAGGTTGTTAAGGAGGTCACTATTCGACGACTGGGTTGTCTCCCCTGGACTTAATCGTCCTCTGGTTTTCCGACTATATTCGGCATGTGCAGTTCTTTGATAGTATGCCTAGTGTCCCACAGTGACTGCAGAAAAGGACGGGGCTAGATCTACAATTCATTTAGTTGTGTCCTCTTCTGCCGCATTTCCAGCAACACTTGAACCGCCAATGTTTTCTACACAAAAAAGGTACTCCTGGTCATACGCTCTAAAGTCGACCGTTTTCGAGAAAAAAAAAATTTAATCTTGAAATACATGGTCAATTTTTGGAAAAGAAACAAAATTTGATTTTTCTCGAAAACGATTGACTTTAGAGCGTATGACCAAGAGTACCTTTTTTGTGTAGAAAACATTGGCGGTTTAAATGGGCGTCTCAAAACCGTACTTTTTCCAGTGGCGTAGAAATTTTTTTTCAATTTCAACACCCTGTATCTCGAAAATGGTGCATTTTCGAGGGTAAGTTAATAGAAACGTTTTTTCATATTTTTGGACAAGCTATCACGTCCTGAAGTCCTGCGCATATAAATTTAAATTATATAAATAATGTATTAAGCTGAAATTGTTTTATTTTTTTAATCACCAAGGTAATTTACGTCTCCTTTATCAAAAAATCCATTTATTATTTTATGCTCAATGAAAGAATGTATCAGTTATATTTGCCGGAGACTATTATAACCTTTCATCTAAAGTAGTTCGTGAAAATCTAATAACTCCGGACGATCTGCTGACAATATCAACACATAATAACAATGTTCTCATAAATTAGTTTTGTGACTAGAGACACCGATTAAATCTAAACTCAACTCCAGCTCATATTGACTTTGTCCTGGTTTCATCAGCTCTAAGGAGTCCAATTTACCCTATTCGCTTCTATCTAACCTTTATATTAGATTAGAGAACGATGGCGTACGGTAATAACTTGAAAATCTGTTAAACAGATTACAGAAGACATGTGAAAAATAATACGTGACGAAAATAGTAGTTTGTGCAACAAGAGTGGAAATGTTCTCCATATTACATGAAAATCGAGTTTGAGCAAGACGCCTAGGTGAAGTGCTCAATCGTCTGATAAGATCAATCAATCCGAATTGTACACTAAAGAAAAGGTTATTAGGATTATATAACAATTTTTAAAATAAATAACACAGGTTTATCACTTTCATTAATTTATAAAAGAAAATAAAACACAAAAAATAATTTGACTTCAGACTGGAATTGAACTCCGAACTTTTCTTACAAGAACTCATCACTCGTCGATAACAAGTCGTTTAGTAATTATATAGTAGATAATTTTAATAAAATTTATTGTTTTTTGTATATTTTTAAACATTTTGTAGTTTGCCATTATTTATTTGTATTATTCATTTTCTTTAAAAAGTAAACTTAAGAATAATCAAAAATGTACTCAATAATTAGTTTGCTAGATTCGTCATAAATGTGAAATAAAATAATTCATATTGTAACGACTAAAAAGGTCCTTAGGGTAGGAACGCTGAGGCTTCACAAATTCATAAATTGTTTTGGAAAGGAAGGAGTAAATAATAATAAAAGAGTTAACAAAAAAAAATAAAATTAACAAATAATGTATATTTAAAAAAAAATACTAAAGATAATAGTTTCGAGATAAATAAAAAAGTTTAATTATGGAATAAGCAAATAAATTGCAACGTTTCAATATTAGATAATATATCCAAACTTTTAGATAAAAACTTAAAATGCTAATTAGACGTAAAACACAACTTATCACAGATAGTGAACTTCTTATGGGATATGCGGCCTAAAGCCATCGCTAGTTGTTTCCCAAAAAAAAATAAATTTGATGATCACTAATGCAGAGGTAAATTAGTTAGGTCTTTCTTTATTTTTCTAATTTTTTGTATTTATACTATGTGTGCTATTTTTGTACCAGTTCTGTAGTAATTGCAATATTTGTGTACTATATGTACTATTTGTTAACTTATATAAACTATTATGAACTATTGTGAATTATTGTGAACTATTGTGAACTACTGTGAACTATTGTGAACTATTGTGAACTATTTTGAACTATTTTGAAGTATTGTGAAGTATTGTAAAGTATTGTGAAGTATTGTGAAGTATTGTGAAGTATTGTGAAGTATTGTAAAGTATTGTGAAGTACTGTGAAGTATTGTGAACCATTGTGAACTATTGTGAAGTATTGTCAACTATTGTGAACTATTTTAAACTATCGATAACTATTGTATGAAGTATTGTGTGAAATATTGAGAACTAGTATGTAAAATACTGTGTGAACTATTGTGTGAACTATTGTGTGAACTATTGTGTGAACTATTGTGTAAACTATTGTGTGAACTATTGTGTGAACTATTGTGTGAACTATTGTGTGAACTATTGTGTGAACTATTGTGTGAACTATTGTGTGAACTATTGTGTGAACTATTGTGTGAACTATTGTGTGAACTATTGTGTGAACTATTGTGTGAACTATTGTGAACAAGTGTGTGAACTATTGTGAACAAGTGTGTAAAGTATTGTAAACTATTGTGAACCATTGTGAATTGTTGTGAACTATTGTCAACTATTGTGAACTATTTTAAACTATCGAAAACTATTGTATGAAGTATTGTGTGAAATATTGAGAACTAGTATGAAATGCTATATAAAATGCTGTGTGAACTATTGTGTGAACAAGTGTGTGAAGTATTGTGAACTATAGTGAACTATTGTGAACCATTGTAAACTATTGTCGAGTTTTGTGAAGTATTGTGAAGTATTGTGAAGTATTGTGAAGTATTGTGAAGTATTGTGAAGTATTGTGAAGTATTGTGAAGTATTGTGAAGTATTGTGAAGTATTGTGAAGTATTGTGAAGTATTGTGAAGTATTATGAAGTATTGTGAATTATTGTGAAGTATTGTGAAGTATTGTGAAGTATTGTGAAGTATTGTGAAGTATTGTGAAGTATTG